AATAATAATTTAATTATTAATTATATATTAACAAATACTAATAATGTATTCTATTTTATCATTCACACAATACGATATTCAAATATTTTGATAATAACATAAAAGTAGAATAAAAATATAATGATATTCTAGGTAATGATTATAGTAAAATAATTTCACATTATAATATTATTGTACTAATATTAATAAGGAAAGTATATGATGAGACCATTTACCCTTGGTACAAGATGGTCACAATTAATCTTGACCATTAGATGTGAAATTGGGTGGCTGCATTTATTTCATTGACCAAGCTCAAAATTCAAAATAAAAATTTTCAAACTTTGGGAGGCACCCAGGCTATCAGATTTTACATCGAATGGTTGTAAGTATTTGTGACCTCCTTATACCAAAGGTAAATGGTCTCATAATAATAATAACAACAACAATAACGACAATAATAATAATATTAATAACAACAACAACAACAACAACACCAACAATATTAAGAATAATAATAATAATAATAATAATAATAATAATAATAATAATAATAATAATAATAATAATAATAATAATAATAATAATAATAATAATAATAATAATAATAATAATAATAATAATAATAATAATAATAATAACAACAATAACAACGACAATAATAATTTTATTAAATATAATAAAAACAACTATTAAATATAAAATATTATAACTATATAATAATATCATTATTACAAGGAGTTAGAAATAAAAATGGGAGGTGGCATGAGCCCCCGTGCAAAAGCTAGCTTTCTCATTGCCTAGGATTTTGCTAATTCCAATTTTTTTATAGAATGAGCAAATGCTAGATATTAGATATTTTGAGGATATGAATACCCAAGATATGATATCTGAAAATACACCCTGATGACCTTAAGAAATCAAAACCATGATATGCAAAAACTAGAGAACAAGGGAAAGGAGATGGGATCATGGTGGTAGCACCCCTACCCCTAGTCACCACGTTGTGGTTTTCATTCCCATTGACACCACCTCACTAACACCTTCAAGAAACTAACTTCTAATCCATTCACATTGACACCACCCCACTAACAGCTTAAAAAAACCAACTTTTAATCTATTTGAAAAAAAAGAAGGTAGGGGCTTGTCGTCCCCACTGAATTATGCAAAAAAGAAGAAGCAAAGATTAGAGACCAAGATAAGGAAATAGAAAAGAAATACGTACAAACGAATTTGAGGAAGCAAAAGAAGGCAAAAGAGTGGAGATAGAGGGTAGTTGTCGGCAATGATACCCTAGGAGATGCATTGGAAAATATTGCCTGTCATAAAGAGTAGACTGCGACGACATCCCTAACTTTTGCTCACACAACTAGGGATTGGACAATTGTGATTTTTTTTGGAAGGACACAAAAGAATAATAAATTGATAATGAGAGAGAGGAACGATACCCACATAAATTTTTTGAAGTAAGATTTAACATATTAGTGTCTCTATAGATAAAAAAAATAGGGAACAATGGAAAAGGGCTGGTGTGTTGGTAACAGCCCCACACCCAAGTCACCATGTTATGGATTCCTTTCCCACAGATACCACCCTACTAACACCTTAATGAAACTAACTCTCAAACTATTTGATGAAAAACAGGTAGGGGCTTGCCTTCTCTACTTAATTATCCCCCCTAAAAAAAACGATAAAAAAGAAAAAAATATAACGGGATAGAAAGGAAATATGCACAGTCAAATTTGAGAAAGTAAATGAAAGAGAATGAGTTAAGACAGAGAGCAGGGGTTGGCTATGATAACCTAGGAGATGTATATGGAAAATATTTCTTATGCTCAAGAGTGGACTGCAACAACATCCCTAACTTTTGCTCAACACCATTAGGGAATGGACAGTTGTGAATTTGTTTTTTGGAAGAACACTAGAAATTGGAGTTTTCTGGGAATAAAACCCTAAAAATGCAAGCCATCCATTTCACAAATGAAATAACTTATTAGATTGAGGCCCCAAGGGACCCCAAATTTCGTATATTGTCTCACATCACTAAACAATTAAAAAGAATTGATTTTGAGTTCTTAAAAGTCTACTTAGTTGTCTAGGAGAAGAAAAACCTTACTTTTCTAGGGTTTTCTTTATGTTTCTATGATCTTATTCATTAGGTCCAAGAGAATATTTGTGCCAAATGTAGGTCAAAACAAATGCCTTGAGGCCACAAATATTGGGGAAGGGGAAATGTAATTGTAATATAGCTATAATGTAAATTCATGTACGGGTTCGTGTAATATGACACAAATGCCATGGAAGGGTTTTCCCAATCTCAACTTTTTTTATTCAAGTTTCCTATTGTGATTTACATAGTGATGGTGTTGTAGTAGTCCATACAATTCAAAGTAATGACACATTTGATGGATAACCTGTAACCATCAGGTAATCCATCACTGTTCAGTCTAAAATTTTGATGGTGATGTCCCTTCCCTAATCCCAAACCGTTACCATACACATTGTACCCTCGTTGCTCACATAAGTCATTGTGATTTGAGAATGATTGGTTGCATGGTATGCACACATATTATTTGGTGTGTGTGTTGTGTGTATTCTAGGCCATGTCATAGTGGAGAATAATCGTTGATTTTTATTTTATTTTATTTTGAAGAATGGCTAACATTTTACTGTAGCATGTCAAAGTACAATATACTTTTACACCATTGGACTCATCAAACACACACCTTCAGAAAGTGAGTTGTAGAGGTTGTAAATCCTTCCTATAAAAACCGCCTCTCATCCACAATATACATTAATTATAAAACATCTTTCTTGTCAACAATTTATTAGTTCTTGCTCTCGCGCACCATCTTTTGCTATCCTATCGATTCCCACAACATTTGCAATAACCAAGGAACCCCTATCTCCCTAGTCACTTACTTAAACACATTCGTTGATAATCTCCCTAAGCAACTATTCTTTGACCACATTAAGAGCTATGTTTACCCCTTGCAATAACCACCTCAGTTCAACCTTATTAAATGTTATTTGCCAATCGGCCATCGTTGTTTTTTTTTCTTTAATGATCATGAACGCTATGCCTACTCTCTCTGGATTTCAAGTGTTGAAAATAGTGCATCTTGAAATTTATTTTCAGGACCGCAATTTTCAAGATTTTCAAGTGTTTAAAGATATGCTCGATCTACACTATTTTTTAAGATTTAAATTACATAGTTAGATGAAAAACTAAATTTTCATGTCATCACAAAGATTTTCAATAGTTGAACATCTTTCGAAACTTTAAAGGTGCGTCTTACTTTGATTGTTTGAGGCCTCGGCCTTATACAAACCGAGGGTTGGTGATTAGGATCAGATTTCAGGGTTAGGTGATCTAAGGTCTTCCCCCAACGAATTGCTGGATTTTAGTTATTATTATTATTATTTACTTTTAACCAATCCAACAATCCAGGTCATCGTTCCAGGCGATCCAAATAGCAAAGCAAGTGGCAATCGAAAATAAATTATTGGTGATTACGTGGATGCTTAGAAAGAGGGTCAAGAGTAGTGATCGAGATAGGAGGAACTGGGCTCCAACTTGGTAACCCAAAACTCCTAATAAAAAGAATGCATTCCTTGTACAAAAAATTGATGATTTTTGAGAATATAGAATCTAATAAAAAGAATTACAAAAGAAATAGAAGAGAAGCGGGAGTTCAGTTCTCCCACCATGGGACTAGGCTGTGATTTCAACATTCTTTGATTACATACTGGGTCATAGTCTTCTGGATCCATTTTTCACTTCGAAGAAGCACTAGGTGTAATTATGAGATTAAAAAATGACGATAAAGTGAAACCCATGTATAATATTCAAAATTTGCATACATCTTTTAACCAGATTTATATTAGAAAAGGAAAAGAAAAAGAAGGAAGGACAATGGTGAACCAATCATCCCTATTTCGTTCATTCAAGGTGGAAGTTGTTCTAGTAAATTACTTTTATAGATGGCATAAAAAAAGCAAATAATTTTCTTTTCTTTTTGCGCATTTATTTATTGAATAATTGGCTTGACAATGGAAAAAGGGTAACTCTCCTTGGCCATATTTCTATTGGGCAATGTAAAAATAGTTTCTTGATGAGTTCTTTAACAGATCCGAAGCGAAATAGCAACCGTTTTGAAGGTTGGAATTTTTTATTTTGCGACTAGAAAGGTCTTATAGCAATATATATAGATACATAAGCTAAAGGTGCAGACAAATTTGCATATTAGTGGAGTCAAGGAGAAGAATGTGACAGGATAGCGTGGTCAAAGAGGGAGGGCGCTCGCTCAAAAGACCATTGTGGATGTCTGCATAGTCAATTTGCATACACACTTATAGATCTTCATTGATCAATCATACACGACCTTTGTATGGAAGAGCATACCACCACTATGTTCTCAGCCATCCGATTGGATGGCATCTGACTATCTAAAAGGATGACATTTAGTCAGACGGCTAATCTGTCCGCTAGATTCTGATCCAAGGCCTGATGCATAGCACTATATGCGTCTCTGTATTCCTCAGGAGGATTGTATATAGTAACCATTTTCCAATTTGTTAATGCTCACTCAACCTTAAATTTTTGTTCTTTAGGAGACCCAAGTGTGAGATTATAATGGCTATTCACATGACAAATAAGGGGTAGGGTGAGGTCCATAGGAGCTTGCAACAATCAAAGCAAGGTGCACTTTCAAAGTTTGTCATAAGATATAATTTTGACGTCAAAAAGTTCTAGGATATAGCCTAAGAATTTATTTTCATCTCTAATTATAATATTTTAAACTACAAAAAATGGTTCAAATCAAACAAATATAGATACACATGAAAATATTAAAAATGATCGATCTAGATAATGTGTTGCACGATGTAATATATTCGAGACTTGAAATTATTTTATTCGTTTATCTATATCCATACATCATGATGCCGACATGATCAATTAGATGGTTTTCTATCATCAAAATAGATTTTTTCCGATGGGTTTTTGAGATGCACCTTAATTCTACATCAAGGGTGTTTATAAATTTTTTTCAAAAATAAATTAAGATACAATTTTTTAATGAGAATCAATAGAACTAAATATCATTTGGGAGCGTGAACCCAAGACATTCGTCAAGGAAAAGAAATAATGAGTTATACACCAATTAAATAGAAACAAAATAAATAGGTCACGGTCCCATGCGAGTTGAATAGCACATGGAAGGAGGCAAGATGGTTAGGGGTATAGGCTATAGGTGAAGCCCAAGTGGGTTGAGGGCGGCTTGTGGCCCCAAGCTGTTATCAAGCCACGCTGGCTTCTCCGCTGACTTCACAACTGGCTTTGGTGGAAATGGAGCTGTCGACTTTATCCTACATATAAAATAGCAAAAGAGAGAAAAAATAAGAGAGAGATTCATGATAATATTTATAATAAAGGGCAACATATAGAAAAATACGAGGTCGAGATAATATAGGTAAGGGTGGCAATGGACACGGCCCGGGACCGGGCCAGGCCAGCCTTGGGGCTTGGCTGGCTAGCCCTCCCTGAGAGAGGCAAAAACAAGTAAAAAAATATAAGAAGAACCAAAAAACAAAGAGTGCTACACCAGGCCGCACCGGTAGACACTGGCCCTCGGGCCACACGTTGTGGCCCAATCCTTACTTTTTAGGTTCGGGTCACCCGGCCCATTGCCTACCCTAATTATGTGCTCTCGCATTTCCTTGGGACAGATTTTTGGGAATGAATATAACATGTTTAGAGACTCTACTATATTTTTCAAATAGATCTAAATGTTTTAGATACTCAAAATCTTTTTTTATTTTTAAAAGTGTTTATTTGGTAGTTATAAAGGCAACTTCAAGATTTTGGATTAAAAATATACTCTTGGATAAGTCTTCTATCCAACGAAAATGACGAGTATAAAAAGAGCACTACAATTTACTAAGAAAAGTGACCACAACCCCTATTGTGTCCCATTTTGTCTTCGAGTACTTATCACGATCCATCCATTACTATGGATGAACAGTGATTGAGGGAAAGCGGAAGCTACAACTTGGGTCATGGTAATTTACGAGGGCCGTTGTAACTCCCTAGCCGCCAATCCATTACTGATTGGATGAAACTCATGACCATGGTCACATGGATCGTAATATTCCTTTCTCCTCACAAAATTTATCTTTTTATAGTTCCACAGAAGACTGCTAGCAAAATGAGATTTCTCATTTTGATCGAGTTTGTGGGTTTGGGTTTAAAAACCAGGATAACTTTCTATACTTCCCGTCATATACATCTTATATACTTCCCCATCTCCAAGCCGTCTGATTTAAATGGATGGAGATGACCCCAATCATAATGTCACATTTATAAACTGTTATATTTTTAATTTTTTATGCAAAATATTTTGACACCAAATTTGAAGCGTCCACTCCTCTCTTAAACTCGCACTAGTAAAAAATATTCCCAATATAATAAAATGACAAAAATACCCCTAAAATCTTTTGAAGTATTTTGATCATTTTCTTTTATCATGAATATTTTTTTATATTTTATTTAGGTGTCTCGTATTGAGATGATGACACGTATCAAATTTCATATACATATAACTTGTAGAAAAAACTAGAAATAAAATACTCTGAGATTGGATGACTAGATAGGAGGGGAAGTGTATAATATGTATACGGTTGAAAGTTTAGACCTGCTTTGCGCGAAACCAAAACCTTGGGAACCAGTGAGAAGATGAAAAACCTTAGGACCTTTCTCACCACTTCTTGAGTTTTATCGATAAATTTGTTTAAACTCGGTCTAGCCTTTAACAGACTTGGCTGAGTCAACCCTCCCGAGACCAGGTCCTTGGTTTAGAACACTTCAGAGGACCACGTGATGTGGCAATATGCAATTATGAAGTGGAGCATAGTGAAACAATTCTCATGTAAGAGCTAGAGAATCTGAGGTCATTAGCATACCGATCCTTTCTCTTCTCTAGGAAGCGTTGGAGTGACGCCTTCCGCGCCATGGGCATATCTGTGAACCATTAAAGTCATCAGAATTTCTTCTATGTTTTAGCATTTATTTAAAATTTATTATATATTTTTTGAAAGTTGTTTCAAATTTACAAATAATTTATACTGATTCTATTTCCAATTGATCAAAAAGCCAACTCCAATTAATTAAGAAAAAGATGTAACGATGATGATGATCACGGAGATAGGCCAAAAGTGCGAGTTTTTTCAAAAATGTCCAACTCACATCTATAGAGAAACGAAAACTAGACTCAAGCCAAATGCAAGCTACAAAATATCTTAAGAGGTAAACTAGAAGGCTTTGCCCCTTTCAACCTCAAGACTCCAATGATAAGACTACTGTTTTACACTTGTAATTTTTGAGAGTGCCCCTTTTTCTAAAATTTTTTATGATATAGAGAAAAAATACCTGAAAAGTTCTTCGACGAAACCGATGATCGGTGATTGGAGGATGAGGTGTTAGCTGGCAAGGGAACACTGCCAGAGTTCTGAGGGCAGCCAGCTCCATTAGCTGCCATGAGCATTATGATCTTCGCTTTTTCGGCCGAAACATCGTCGATTAAAACCATCTTTCCATCATAAAATATAGTCATTTGAGCCTTGCGTTGCTCAGCAATAGACCTTCACAAAAGAAATAAGAAAAAATAGAAGAAAGAGAAAGTCAAAGTACTGTTCATTAATTTTGATTTATAATGGATGGTTCTGAACTTCTTATGCGTCTTGGATTTTGTAATTATAAGAAGATTTTCACCTGAAATCGGTAGACGTTGAGCTTCCAGAATTCGGTTTATTAGTAGGAAGAGTAGGACCAAATCCTGATTGTTGAGGAAACAGATCCATGGATTTGATTCCAGAAAAATTGTCAGAAACTTCCTTCTTTGACAATGAATATGTAGGGAAGATGGCCAGATGGCTGTTAGATTTAGCTGCAAAAGATAACCATACAATTAAATAAAAAAAAGTAGGTGAAAACAATTTAAAATATACATCATCTAATAAATTGCAAAATCCAAAACTGATTAATCACTAATTTAAACCTTGTTAAAGGGAACTTGCAAATTTTACTAGAAATGATACAATACCCTACACATAGTTTATCTCCAAGTTAAGAGCTTAATAGCCCAAACACTTACTCGGCAAAATTTAAAATCAGAGGTATGTGTTTTCGAAGGGGATCTACAGAGGAGAGCACATTGGGTATTATAGATAAGACTGGCAGGCCGACTTTTTATAAACTCAAAAGATTATATGCACCTACGTTGCACACGCTGCATTGGGTAAACATTTTCTATAGAGTTATTTTAGGGATAATAATAGATATCCCCCTACCCCACACTTTTTACCTATAAAACATGTTTCTCTCTAAGAGAAATATATTAAGAACGCATGCCGAGTTATTTTAGGGATAATAATAGATATCCCCTTACCCCACATTTTTTACTCATAAAACATGTTTCTCTCAAGAGATGCATCATATTAAGTACACATGCAGCGTTAGATTTGATGCTATCCAAAATAACCCAAGTAAGAAAATCTCATATTTTGTGGGATCAAGATATTCTCATATTACGTGGTATATGTTTCATGTTTTATTTCTCGTACTTTATTTGTCAAAAATAACCCATCGGGTTTAGAGCTTTCCGTGCACAACAAATTGGACCGATTTCATTGGAGACCAAAAGGTAATCTCACGTACATTGAGCCAAATCGATTTTATTTTTAAGGTGAAAAAGTCTGACCGCAATCTGTGCCAAACCGGTCCCATAGTGACGAAAGTGTGTGTGCAACAAATTTTCTACAGGGACATAAGCTAGTGGTTTTGATTAGCTTTATTAAAAAATAAAAAAGGTGAGTTAGACAAACGTGCGTTATACCTAAAAAAACTACCCCAAGAAAATTTCTATGCCTATTATATTTCTATAATTTACTAAAATTAAATGGAAACCATTTAATTTTCCTTTACAATCAACCTAAACTCATTTTCTTTCTTCTCTGAAAATACTCATGTGATGATCTTAAATCCCTAAATTTTAGAAAGACAAACCAAGAGAAAATACCACAAAAACGAGTCCCATGCTCAACAGAGCAAGCTAGGCTGTGCTGGGCGAGAGAGTACTCTATGCCACGAACGAGGACCACATGGATGTTATCCATGAAAAAGGTTAGCGAAAGGGTCCATATAAACGTGCACGCCACTACACCGCATTCGACATGTTCGTCGGCAGGCGCAAAAACACAAAATATACACTATTTTTATCAAGTATTCACGTGCCCATGGCCACGGTAAATTGTTGTCCCTGCTCAAAAAGTTCGAAAAAAGTTCTAGTAAATCTTATACACGGTTTTAAAAAACGGATTGACAAGGATCGCCCTTTTGGATTTCTGATCCAGCACGGTAAATCAGTGATCTAGAAAAAAATTTAGGGACATCTGAAAAAATTAATTGGGTTCGACTCTACCGATCAGACCATTCGTTCAACAATTAAAAACTAAAAAATTTAAGAATATGAAGTCGGTCCATACCGATTTTTTGACACAATCGAGACTGACTGGAACTAGTCAAAATTGGTACACTCGATGATTCAAAAAAAAAAAAAAAACTGTGGAGCCACTTACAATTCAGACATGTTGGAATCAGCCAATTCTGATATTTTACAAGATTCATTTGGGCCCAACATATTATCCATTTAGATCGGCCAGTTGGAATCAGTAAATTCTCATATTTTACAAGATTCAAATCGGCCCAACAGACTCCCTGTCTAGATCGCCCAGTTTTGATACAGACCTCCAATTTTTTAAACCATGCCTTATACTAATAAAAAACTCACACCTAAAAAACCATATGAAAATGTTGTTTAATGTTGAAGAATCCTCAAATTGATCTCAACCTTGAGATGTATGGCTATTAAGAAAAGAAAAAAAAAGATTTCAAATCATGAAAGATAGCGCTCCTTGTAACATATTTTATCTTGGCCATCCATTTTCAAAAATTTTAATTGTTTATAAACCATCTCAACCTTATCATGTAGAGCGAGGCACACCCTCCAAAATCCATAAGAAGAAGTTGTTTCGATGCTTAAAAAAAGCTCCAATTGATCATCTCAACATCGAGATATACAGATCTTGGAAAAAATAAAAATAAATATTTCAAATTATAAAAATATGTATCTTGTAACATATTATCTAGACTGTCAATTTTCAAGATTTTCAAAGTGTTCGTAGATCTATACCATTTTTTATTTTCTTTTTAAATGTAGATCTATAGCATTTTTTGAGTTTTAAATTTCATAAATAGACAAAATAATTTTTAGGTCATAGTTGAAATTCCTGACACCAAATTTACGTCTTTCCACAAAGTTCCCGTACTTCGATTGAGCACCTACAACTATCAGGTTGAAATTTTTGGTCATAAACTTCACTGAAAATCACAAATCGTTCACCTCAAAATGAAAATTTTCAGGAAATCGTGGAGAACTAGCCTATAAACGATTAAACTAAAACCAATGTGGGAAACTACGATTCGGCCACGGGATTCATTTCAGCCCATGGATAAGCTGAGTATCTCGGGACAGAGTTACTCGGCCCGAATTGGGCCAACCTTAGCCAAGCCATATTGTGTCAAAAAAAAAAAAAAAATCCCAAAAATAGGAAAAATATGTTTGAAGTAAGATTGAACAAAACACATCTATATGAGGTTAAAAAAGCGGTGGAAAAATGAATTGTGAAAAAATCAATTTGCCATGGGGGTAATTTATAAATAATCAAAAAAGAGGAGAAAAATGTAAAAATAGTATTCATGACCATAACATTTTCCAATATTTGTCAAAATGAAAAAAAAAAAAAAAATATATATATATATATATATATATATTACAAATAAAATTATTTTTATAAAATTTTTAAATTTTCTTAAGATCCCGGAGTCGGACCGCCTAACTCACAACTCAGGGATACTCTGATTTGCCAGGGTGGTAATCCCTAGCACGTCCAAGTTGGGACTCGCTAAGGTGGGCAAGTCCAAGTTGGCTAGCCCGAGTTATCCCACACTGAAGCTTAGCTCAAATTGTTTGGTAATAAGTAATTCAGATCTGGTTTAGTACATACTAGGATAGTGCATACTAGGATCTGATTCATTAAAACCCGAAGAAAACCAAAGAGACCCTCCACATTTGCTCCAAAAAGTTAAAAAGCACCTAAAACCGTCACATGTAAAATCTGACAGTGCGGGATCTGAGGACTTAAAATCCTAGAAAATTAATTCAGAAGAATGAACGTCAGATTTCAAATCTGACTGCGTATGATGTTTCGGGTAAAAATGAAGTAAAAAGGAGAAGATCTTGGGGAAATTTTGGGAGAATAATGACTTAAAGAAAGGAATTTGCCCTAAAAATCGTTGAGACTATCTTTTTCAGGAAAAATTTCTCTAAAATTTAGAAACCATGAGATTGCGGCCAAAATTTCGTCTATGGCATTATTCTTATTGGGAAATGTATATGCAACGGAAAATAAAAGAAACTGCAAATTAAACCCTAGAAATTCCGGCCAAATTTGAGGCTAATCCTTAATCATTTTGATGGAAGATCATGTACCTAAACTAAAGGCCTAAAGATTAAGGTAAAAATCGAAATGGAACTAAAGCAGCCATGGAAGCCCAGGATTCTGGCAAAACCCAAGTTTCTGGCCGGAAAATATAGGAAATCCGGCGAAGAACCTCATTCTAACACACAATAGTCGCCGGAAAATATGTTATTCAGGCAAGAAGCCTACAAATGAAATCATAGCACTCTGTTTACCTGAAAGTAACAGAACTCATGCAAAATAGCCAGAAAGAATGGCGCTACAGTTCCAGGAGAAAAGGCTAAATTATAGCATTATAGTTGCTGGAAAATGACAACATTCACGAAAAAGTCCTGAATTATATAGCAATAGTACGAAATTCAGAAAAAGAGCGTGCAGCAATAGCACAATGGTCGCCCGGAAAATAACAAATTCCGGCAAAAAACGCAAGTAATGCACTATAGTAGACGGAAAACTACAAATTCCGACCAAGGAACTGTCTCATACCTCTTCCGTCATGAAATCCGGCTATCCCAAGGCTCAATTCTGGCAAGCTCCCCTTCTCCCTCATGTACTTGCTCAAGCGGTTGCATGTACAAGCAAAGCTCGACCCTCTCTCCGATGAAATTCCGGCTGTCCTCATGGTGTTCCAGTGACTGAAACCGCCAAAAAATGTCACGAACTCGCCGGAATCTTAGGCGTCCGTCGCAAAAGTCCCCGGGTTCTCTGCCGGTAAAATATTGAGTTTCCGGATAGGAAGCGTGAGCGTTTCCCTTCTGCGAAAGTCAGTGGGGCGTGGCCCTCAACCCTAAATAGCCCTTGTCGTCGGTTATTCGGCACGTGATATAAGATTTTGCCACGTGTTGTATCGTGCACGACTTTACCCGATCTGGAATGGCAGGTTGAGAAAGGAATGAACAACCGATGGCCATGAGATAGAAAGAGAGAGTCCCCTTTCTCTCTCTAAAAAAATATTTCTTTTTCACGACTTTTGAATATTAGATTTTTTTATGTACGTTTTGAATATTAAATTATAGACCTACCAAAGTTGAATAACGGAAGGCTGACGGCCCATGACCTCAAACAGTGCCGACGTTTATATTTACTATTATACTCCTCGTTTAATATTTCTTATTTTTTAATTAATTTTGGGAGATTCTAAACTTGACGGTTTACGCTTACTAAAGCCTAAAAATACCCGATTTTTCAAGGACATAGATTTTAAGACAATCTAAGATTTCATGGTTAGGGAAGGCAACGGGACCCGGACCCGATCCTGATTAGTATTTGGGTCTAAAATTTGGACTTATGTTAGAACCCGTCCGGTCTCAGGTCTATCTGTCGAGTCCTACGTCTACCCGTTTAGTCTTGAGTTTGGTTGGATCCATTGCCCCCCTATGATTATAAATTTTTTTTTTTATTTTTTTTTATTTTTATCTTTTGTTATTTGTTTTACCATCATAGAGCCTATGACCATGAGCTCCCTTTTTTTTTTTTTACCAATAATACCATAAATGTCGCCAACAATGTGGCAATATGAATACTTAATGTGTGCCTAAAAACACATAATTGCTATCATATACCCTCAAGCTATGGGTATGGGATGTGTCCGATTGGACTCGAACCCAAATAATATCAAAATCTAGTATCTGGGTACAAAATTTAGACCTATAACCAAACCCGAGGTCGGGTATACCTATAAGGTCCGTGGTCTAATAAGGTCAATTGCCAACCCTAGATTTCAACAATATAATTTTTACTTCACAATTTTTTATGGTTATTTCTTGTTTTTATTATTTTTATTTAGAGTTTTAATTGAGGCATATGTGTTCTCAATTTCTGGGTTACATCAAACCGTGGGTACGATTAAAATGAGCTGGTGACACAGAGTGGTACTTGTCAAATATTACTGTATTCCATGTGACCTATGTATTTCCCAATAGGGTGGATTCCACCTCACTTGTCAGCTCGGATCTTGGATCTTTATACTAGTGATCCCGATCGATCCGAAAAATATTAAAAAAAATTAATATAGGGGCTTGTGTGGTTGGGGTTTAAAGGACCTAAAAAAAATCAGATAAGATTAAAAAATGAAAAATCTGTAACATGCATTTTTGGAGAGGAATCGGGCATGGATCGATATCTTCCTAAAACCGGTTCGTTCCAAGTGAATTCCAGGTCCAGATCGACGATTCTTCATCCGAATCACTGGGTTTCAAAATGCTGGTTCAAATATTGAACTTTCAAGCTTCAAAGTAAACTATGGCTATATGAGCCCATTTTCCTCTCTAGAACAATGTTTTTTGACATGCTTTGGATCGATATCTTCCTAAAACCGGTTCGTTCCAAGTGAATTCCAGGTCCAGATCGGCGATTCTTCATCCGAATCACTGGGTCTCAAAATGCTGGTTCAAATATTGAACTTTCAAGCTTCAAAGTAAACTATGGCTATATGAGCCCATTTTCCTCTCTAGAACAATGTTTTTTGACATGCTCTGGGCGAGTAACTCGGCCCAAGTCTAAGTAGGATAAGCTTAGTAGTGTTTAAAACATTTGTAAAAAGCCTTAAAAATAAAATAAAATAAAAATTATTTAAAAATAGAATAAAATTTATAAAGGTGAAATGCAATAAGAGGCAACATAGAAGTCCAAGAAAAGTGATAAAAAAAATATGAAACACGGATTTAGAAACAATAGATTCATAGTTGGAGATATTTTTAGAAAAATATAAAAAGAGAGAAAAATATAGATGTAATACATATGACAAGAAAAACTGGCAAATTACTATAAAAAAAACTCCAAATTAGAGACATAATATTTATACATTGATTATATATTTACAATGTATTTTTACGATTTTCTTTTAGATTTTTTATGGGGCTTGAGTTTTACCTGCTTACTCAGCCCGACAAGGAGCTAAGTTCAAGTTACCGAGTCCGAGTAGACTTGGCCGATTTTTCAATCCTTGTCTAAGGAAAGTTTTCCATACAACTTGGTTGTTTTCTAACTCAAATCATAGAAAGTTTAGTGATGCTAAATTAGTGACATATGGATGGATGTATGCGTGTAGATGAACTTGTTTCTTTTCTAGATTTTAGAGATATTTGTCTAATTTTAAACTTGGGTTCTTCGAATTCCACACTAGAATCTTCTAGTATCTAAATATTTACAATGAGAGAGAGAGAAAAAGATAGAGAGAGAGTATGAATCCGAGTGGTCAATTCTTTCCATGTAGTCCAGGGCATCGTGTTGGCAAAACGCAACTTATGGACCTAATTTCTGAAATTTTGACCAGAAAAAATGGCCTCTAACCTAATTTTGCCCCTAAACGCAAATCAAGGTAGAGTGGTAGACCATTGGCCTAATTTTGCACCCCATTTTTAGGCAAAGTTTGTTAAACTGGACTTCATATTTAACACTCGTGAGAAATTATCATTTGCATAAATGTCAATAGATTCTGCTGGAGCACATCTTCTATTTATAGGTCAATGTAACATCTTCAACTTATATACTCGATAAGAAAGAGTTCCAAATTGCATTATCTATAGGTTTGAAAAAAGGGATTGGATACAATGAAGGTATAAGAAAGTTACGATTATTTTCAATCTTCCGATGTGAAATATGAGAGCTTGTACAAAGTTCGAGAAACTTTTTTTAGACTTTGAGCTTGGTTAATGAAATAAATACAGCCACCCAATTTCATATCCAATGGTCAAGATTAATTTTGACCAAGTCGTATCAAAGTAAATGGTCTCATTATATACTTCGCTTTGAAAAAAATAAGGCTTCAAAATTGTATAAAAAGGTTCAAATTTTGAAGGGTGAGATCTAAGTGCCAAAAAATTCAAAATTCAAAATTCAAAATTGTTCTTTGCAATATAATTATCTTGTAATTTTTAGGTGGTACTTGGATTTTCAAATCAAAAAAATCTTCCCAAATTAGTCTTCTGCTGAGAGAGTAAGTATATAATATACTTTGTACTTGTATATATATATATAGAGTAATGATCCTATGAGACCCTTCCACACTCATGTGTGCAAGACTCCAAATGATCATTATTAAATTTGGCACAAATATCTAAAAAAATTATCACATAGGTAATGGAGGGTCTCATTGGATCATTACTTATATATATATATATATATACTTTGTGTACCTTAAGAAATCCTACTGTCTAAAAATTGCATATTGGGACCATTTTATTTTGGATGGTCGTATCCAGTCTTTCAAAGCCTAGATCAGCTAGTGAGTTGCCCATCCTGAAATTTGATTTGGATCGGCAAATCAGCTGTCGAAATTGGTAAATTTGACTAGTTATCCAGAGGGAAATCAACCCAAAAAACTAAAAAACTTGAAAACAATAAAAGATGAAAAATAACAAATATTATATATAGGAACCAAGGGATCATATTGGTCTGGATCGCTCAGTTCCCTAACAGACACACCTAGTTCCTTGACAGAATTACTCGATTTTTAGGGAACTAGACCATTTCACAGTTTTCTAAAGAAACCGGAATAGTCTCATCCGATGCTTGATCCAAATAGGCGATTCCCGATTAGATCGCTAGGTTTTTTAAACACTAGTCATATTTAAGTATTTAAAAACTCAAAACTTAATTTTTTTTATGGGATTTTCTACAAAAAGACCACTTCTGGGATTTTCTATAAAAAGACCACTTCTTTTTTGTACATGGAGGTCACAATCATTTTTGTCCCTTAAAATTCAAAATAAGTGGTTATAAGACTGTTATTGAATAGACACAAAGTTCCGCAAAAATTAAGATTCTCGGACTTCGTGACTCACCCCAAGCCTTCCAATTTGACATCTAATGAGTGGAAATTATTGTTACCTCCATGTAGAAAAAATAAAGGGTGTGTTTGTATAGAGCTAAGGCTTTAGATAATCAAAGTAGAGCATACTTTCAAATAGTGTCAAAAAATGTGTTTTCAATACTGGATATCTTTGTGATAGCCTTAAATATATTTTCATCTTTAATTATAAAATTTAAAGCTTTAAAAATCGTGTAGAATGAGCAGATCTATAAAAACTTGAAAATTTTAAAAATTGACGGTCCAAAAATGTGCTACAAGATGCATTATTTCCAAAGCTTGAAATCCATTTTTTTTTTCTAATGTTCATGCATCTTGATGTCGAGATGATCAATTTGAGGATATTTTGAGCATCAAAACAACATCTTCTAATGAAAGTTTTCAGGTAACCTACATTTTGATTGTTTAGAGTCTCAACTCTATATAAACTTTTTCCAAAGGCAAATGGATTCTTTGTAGACAATACCATTTTGTGCACTCATAATGATACTACAAACCACACCCTATAAAGTAAAAGGTGTGGTTTCTATAAGGTTGCAACATTAAACAATCCAATTAAGGGGCGCCTTAAAATTTTACCATAACATATAATTTTATTGTAAAAAATTCTTAGTATTATCTTAAAATCTATTTTCATACCTAATTAGAAAATTTTAAATTTCAAAAATAGTTAAAATTAAGTAGATCTATAAATATATGAAAATCTTGAAAATGGATGGTCTAGATAATGTGTTGCAAAAGGTACAATTTTCGGGACTCAAAAACTTTTTTTTTCATATTCATACATCTCGATATCAAGATGATCGATTAGAATATTTTTTCAAGATTAAAACAATATTTCCGATAAAATTTTGAGATGCATATGTGATTCTACATTGCAGGGTTGCAACCTTATATCAACTTTTCCCTAAAGTAAATCCCAATTTTAATCTTATTTTTTTTAACTCGAACCCATAATTTCAGTTTGAAA